AATTATTTTTTCATAGTCTTTAATGTTTATATTTATTAATAAAATTTAAATAAATTCAAACTGAAATAATTTTTAGTTGTAATTTATTAAACTATACTATAATTTATTTAAATTAAAAATTAATTATATAAATTCTATATTAGTCAAAGTTTTACATTAGATAGAGTGTTCATTAGACTGGCCAACCGCACTAAAATTAACCCCAAAATTTAATTTTTAAACCATTTGAGCATATTTTGACTTGTTACTTTTCTTTTTACTTAAACTAGTAAACAATAATATATTTAGTCATATAGATTAAACGTGCAAACGAAATAAAAAAAATGCTTTAATTCATATATTTCAGCTCAAAAGTTCGTTATTTTAATAAATAATAAAACAAATAAATAGAATGAAGTATTAAAATTATTTGAGCAAAATATAACAAATATTCATTTTGGTAATAAAATAATAAATTTTATTGAAAAATATGTACAACTTGTTGTTTTTGGCATTTTTTCGTTATGTGTAAAATTGACAATCGAGTTTTTTTTCTCAAAAGCAAATTACCAACATTATGATATTCAATAACAACAACAGGAGATAAACAATAATTGGGATAATACATTTAAACAAACTTGTAAATTGGTTTAAAGACTGTTAAACACTGTTTCATATATCGTACAAAAAATAAAATACATGTAATTTCATAGAATGAAGTTCTTAACATAATAAACAATTGTAATATTAGATAAATTGTAAATCATGATTAAAACAATTTGTGTGAATTTTAAATCATGATAATTTAACCCAAATTATAAAAAGAATAAAATTTGCAAGTTATTATTCATTAGTAATAATCACATTGCATATGTTTTAATTGAAATGTTGTTTTGAGAATGAACAACGATTTAAACATATAAGTGGTTAACAGTTACAAAAAATAAACATAATGTTATATTTTAAATTGACAAGCCTTTAATTTATTTTTTTTGCAATAAAAGTTACAAATAATATTCATTATACTTTTTTACTGTTATAACATTGTAATTAATTGACTGCACAATGATTATGTATTTAATAATGTTGTAAAACCAATTGTTATATTCAATTTAGATAATATTAATGAAAATGATTATTGAAAATAATTTATAAATCACAACATTTATTTAAAAAACGATTACTTTTAAAGAATATATTCTTGGTAAATTTATATTGTTTTTGGTTCATACGGATTTATATTTTTTTGAATATCAAAAAATATAATTTTAAAAAAATAATATTTAATAATCATGTGTTCCCAAAAACGTTTATTTTTTAAAACTTGGAATAAATAAAATGATATTTAACTTTTGTTTATCGCTTCCAAATAATAATTAGTTTTAAATAATTTATTTGTATAAGCAAAAGTCGGTTATATGTGTGGTCAACTTTGGTTTCGGCAAAAAGGAACGTTGTTTTAAAAATTCGGCATAATAGAAAATAAGGTCATCGGTTGGCCAGTCTAGTGTTCATACTGTATTTATAAATATATGTACATGATTTATTAACCCTTCGAGGACTGAAAAATTTTTATTTTTTTCTTTTTTTCAGAAAAAAATTTCAAAAAATAATTTCACTTTTCCAAAAAAAATGAAAATAATGGCGACTTTTCATGAACAATTTAGAATGATTTTTGACTTATTTGATAAAATAGTTCAACTCAAATTCAAACTTTTGAATTATTTATAAAACATTTCATCATTCATAAACTCAAATTAATTGGGTTTTGTTAAAGATTTGTCCTTCAATCAATAAAATATGCAATTTAACAAATTAATATTAGTAATAAAAATAATACGAAAATAAACTGTTTTTATAAACAAATAAAATTGTTAATAAAATTGATTAAAGAATACTATCAGATATTCAAGTTTTTCAAAAACAAAATGAAAAACACTTAAAACAAGTGCAACAATTTGGGTTCAATATAACCAATAAGATTGGTTCAAACCAAAATAAAATAACAACATGACAAAAATATTGTTGTAGAAATAAAAAATGGATTCCACTCAAACTAAAAATACTTGGAGAACAAATAACATCAAAATATTACGATAAAAGCCCACCACTTACTATTAATTTTGTGTGTTATTCATCTAACACAATAATAACATTAAAATAATTATCTTATATGGTAAAACAACGCTATAAAACATCAATTTAAGTCGAGAAAAATGGCCGTTTTGGATACATTATACAATGCGTGACAAAAGAATAATAAATTGTAAAGTAATTTTAATTAAAAATCAAACTATAATTAATCAACTTGTGAATTATATAATTGATAGTAAATTTATTATATATTTTATGATTGATTATAACAATAATAATATTAAAACTAAACCAAATGAACACCTACACAAATATAATTAAATTGAACCAAGCATGAACAGCCTTGATTATGCCATTTCATTTCTCATTTGCAACTTTCTCCTTCTCATGTCTGTCGTTAATGCCTGGGTACATTAAATTCAATCATAGGAGACGATGCTTAATATAACTTGTTTCTGATATCGACATTGCACCTTGTGAATGAGTTTTAAGTTGTCTCGTGGATACCTGATGCTTCCATGCCAATAAATGATGGCTGAAAGAGTGCTTCTGGACATCTGAATCTCTCGTTTCCAATGGTAATGATTTCACTATTTGATAGTTAATGTGATTTCTTAAATTCTGATGATGGGGAAGCTTTCTTCATTTCTCTGTTGATGTCAAGAGCAATGTAGTAAACACTAATCTGTGTTTGTAGTTCACAAAATAATTAGTTTATGTATTTTATTTTTATTTATAAACATGGAAAACAAGTCTTTTGTTTGTAATTTATTACTATGAATGGAACACAATTACGTGTACTTTCAGGAAATAACGATAAAAACACAAGAAAAAAATAAGATAATTTGCAACAATTTGTCTTGGATTATTATGTTGGTTAGTAGTGTTTTTATTTGAACTTTAAATTCGATTGTAATCCATCTCTAATTATTCGACTCTTTTTAATTCTTCTTGTTTTTTTGTCAAGTATGTTTCTGTTTTTCGATAATTATTTTTATTTTTATATACAACAACATTATATTACCATTTATTGAAATAAATATATTATTTAAATAATTATTGTTAGTAGAAGAAAAATATAATCGATACTAAACACAATCAGTTTAAAAAACCAATTTTCTTAAAACTATTATCAATTGTGTTGTTGTATTTATAAAAAATAATAAAATCGTTTACTAATAAGTTTCTATTATAATTATTATATTAAAGTAGTTGTGTATATATTAAAAATACGACAAAAAAGTTGTTTTGTTTATTTCGTTTTAATTGAGAAATTTGAATCAATTTTTATTTTTTGATGGATTTCAAAAAGTAGCAATAGTATATTTTTACAATAATTTATTTATTATTGTAAATTAATGTATATTAATTTGGATATAAGACAACAAAAAATACATTTATCCATCGAACGTTTGAAAATAATTCCACTCAATGAAACATAAAAACAAGCTAATAATCCAATTTTAAATTAGTTTCACTAATAAATATAATCAATAATACCAATGAAAATTAGTTATAATTTGTATTATTTTAAAATAAATATAATCTAAAGTATAAATTAAATTTATAATGATTTTTTAATTAATTTAAATTATTTTTATATAATACAAAAATGTTTAAAAAATTTATTCACTTATCGTTTTTATTAGTAATATTATTATTTATTATATATATGTAAATCATTGTAATATTATAATATGTTAAATTAAAACAGTATATTTCTATCGCAAACATTTTTATCGAATTAAAAAAACATAAACCTTATGCAAGAAGACGAGATTGTTGGCACATTTAAATGGAAGAAAGAAGGAGAAGCACCAAAAAGCTCACGACACGTTAAAGCTTCGCCTGATCCGACTTACTCGTTTGATCCCAAAGGAAGTAATTTAACTGAAGTTGAGTGTTTTAGGTTGTTTTTTGTGAAGAGATAACAAATAACCTTTTGTTGTTTTCAAATAAAAAAATAGCCAAAGAACATAAGACTGATGATAACAAACTTTCTAAAACGAGCATCCTGAGGTACCTAGGAATTCTTCTCTACATGGGAGCTCACCATGATGTCATTAATCCCGTGGAAGAGCTTTGGTCAATCGACCACGGAAAATCTATTTATAGAAATAGCATGCCACTTGACATGTTTAAATTCATTTCTTCACACATTAAGACTTATGATATGGGCCAGCCAGATGATGTTTGTGATGATGCACCAGACACTTCAGATAATGGGGATGTCGAAGAAAAAGAGGAAGTTGATAACGGACCAGAAGGAGAGTATTTCAACTGCGGAATATTCAGATCGAGATTTCAGAGATCTCTCTGAAGAGCAACTCGGGAAAGATGTTAGAATCAAAAGGGGCATCGTTGGTAGTGGAGTTGTTAAAGTCGTCCCTGCAATAACTCCAAATGCACACGACAGCTTTTCTAAAATTAGAGTGATTTTAGATAAGTTTATTTCTAACCTTGTCAACCAAACCTATTACAAACCTAGTAATAGTGTTTCTGTTGACGAACATTTGTGTTCTTAGAAAGGGCATATGTGGGCTAAGGTGTTTATTAAGTCTAAGCCTGACGTTATGGTATAAAGTTTTGGGTTTGTTCTATTTTTACCAAATGAGTTTTATTTATGTAGTCAAAAATGACGGATAGTTATTATTGGTTTGACATGTATGATCAAATTTAATAATTTAATTATTTGTTTATTTGAGTTATTTATAGTTTTCTAACTCGTAGATGTGTGCTGACTTTGAGACAGGAATGACTCTAAACTTCCAAATGTACTGTGGTAAGTGTGGTGGTAAGGAGGA